CCGACACCCCCGCCTGCGGGGCGGCAGGCAGTGTGGCCCTGCCAGCTATCGCCGCGCTCCAGGCGCAAGGCGTGGGCGAAGCAGGTGCCTATCTGTCGTGCTTGCCCTGTTCCCCGGGCTGCTGTGCTGCTTCCTGGCCGGAGCTGCTCTCCCTGGAACTGTTTGTGTGTCTATTTATAGCCCAGGTGCTTTTAAAAATAATCGGGCTGGGCCAAACCCACCTCTGGCACTGACGCTCGTGAGGTGATTTTGGTCCACATTTTTCTGTGGTGAAACAGCTTCTCGCGGCTGCTGAGCAAACGCTGAGCGAGCGGAAGAGCCTCGGGGCCCTCGCGTTCCCAGGCTTTGTCCAGCACCCACAGCTCTGCGCCCGTGATGGAGTGTTTCATGTGGGGCTCAGCCCCTGCCAGCCCCCTCGGGCAGGGTGGGGCAGGGGGAGCTCCGCACTCCGAGCTCCTGGGGCCTTTTGCCCCGCTGGTGTTTCGGCAGCGCCCCGTTCCCTACCTCGCACGCCAGCCTGCGGCACGCAGAGCTGCCCGCACCATGGGGCAATGGGCTGATTTTAAATGTAATACAGCCTGTGTTTTTTAATGTGTGTGTGCATGTGTGTATATGTGTGTGTGTGCTGGAGGAGCACACATGGGGCCCCTGCACTCTCGCTGCTCGCCCACAGCGGGGCAGGGTGTGGGTCTCCCTGTGTCCCCCACATGCCGAGGGCCGCTCGCAGGTGCTTGTCACAGCTGAGGAGCCCTGTGGTGGGGACCCTGCTCTGGCCTGGCCCCTGACGTTTCCGGGGCTGTGCAGACGCGTCAAGCCCACCGTCCAGGACTGTGTCTCTGCTCGGGGCCGTGCAGTCCCTGCCCCTGGTCTCCTGCTGGTTGCTCTGGCCTCCCTGCGGGCTGTGACGATACCATGAAGTGAGGGGCCCCCCGGGCTGTCCCCAGCACATCCTTGCGCCACGTTTGCTTGTGTGACTCGGGCACGGGGGGTGTTCAGGAACAATAAACTACGGTGCTGCCACGCTCCGGCTGTGTGTCTGCGTGGGGCGCGGTACTCGGGAGGGGCGG